TTTAGGTATAGTACACTTAATGTGATCGCCAAGTTTGGCGAAAATCTGGAACAGGTTTTCTGATTGCGTTACGGGCACTCCTTTTATCTCAATATATTTCATACGAGATCTTCGTTCCCCACCTCGAACCAAGCTTTCCAGCTTGTCCATTCCCTGCTGCAGCATCTTAATCTCATCTCTTGTTTTAAGCAGTATCTGGATTTCTTTTTCGATATCGCTTATCCTGCTTGATAAGGTGTCCACAGAGTTATGCATGAAATTTATAGATTCCTTCACATTCACAAGCTCCGATTTCAGATTTTTCAGTTCAGCTAACTCCGTATGAATACTCGTAACGCTAGCCACCAGCTGCGGAAGTGATGCTGTTAAAACTGTTAGCCGCTTTAGTTCCGTCATCACATCGTCGAGGTCCACAGTGGATTTAAGTGACGTGGCTTTGCTTGAAGATAGGTGGGGACTCGCTGAATTTTTGCAAGTAGTGCATCTCCAGTAGGCTTTTCGATCACCAAGCTTACGATAGCCCACTTCCGTAATCCCAGCGCAAGGAAAGTCGAGATGACAGAGACACACCGAACATTGGACTCCGTCTCTAAATTCAGCATCACATCGTTTAGACTTGAACATTGTTGCTAATACTTTGGGAACTACTGACTTACAAGAGACGAAAAAATGGTGGGGTATATGCGTGTGCACAGTCCGACGTCGAATGACTGGCTGACTTAGTAGCACCAGACCGAGCAAGGATTCAGCCTGGAAATCCAGAACCTCGAGCGGAATCCAGGAATAGCTCCGATGAAGATAGGAACAGCAGTGATCAAGAATAATCAGTGGACCATTTTTAAAACAGTAGACTTAGACATTTTTAGAATACAGATAGAAAACAACTTAGGAGAATACATTACTGTAAAAGACATCATAAATACGCAATCCGAATTAAGACGAGAATTTTTAGGTACTAAAATCGACACGTTAACACTGACACACAACTACACTAAGACTCACTGCACGTCCTACACATTACTTACACATTGCTTTTTGCTGTGATGCACCGCTTCGCGTTACCCACTAGGCGATAGCTGAAAATCAGTGCGTTGCTTTTGGGCAACACCTGCACTGAGCTATGGCCTGTTTGGCTTGCTGCAGCACTCACAACTTGCTTTTTAATTAATTGTAGATATATGTCGTTTATTGTGTATTCTTATTTTATTTCATACCTTTTTTGTTATTTTGTATGTTTTGTTTTGAGTTTTTTTTTGTCTTCTTTCTTTCTTTATTTATTTGTTGTTTCATATTATTGTGTGTGCTTGTGGTAAGTCAATAAACGTATTCTATCTATCTATCTATCTATCTATCTAAAATATATATAGAAACTTTTATAGAACTAACTAGAGATAGGCTTAATCAAATTTTACCGTCAGCATCAATTAGAGTAAAAAGAGGTATCCTTAACCCATTAGGTTCATTAATTAAAACTATTTCAGGAAATTTAGACAACGACGACGCAATAAGATATAATACGGAAATCAGTAAGCTAAAACATAGGGCATAGAGCATTTGGTCGAAAGAAAAACATCATTAATGCAAAAAGCATTTGATAAGTTAGTCAATATTACAGATACTATCAACTTTAACGTAAATCATATACGCTATACAACTTCGCAATTAGAAACCTTAGTTCAAAACGAAAACAAACTAAGTAATTCTATCCTATTCAGTAATAGCATGAAACAAATTCTTAATAACTTTCGAACTATTTATAGCATCATACAAGACATAGAGTCAGCTTTTGGCAAACTCCACATTTTGCATCAATCAATGATAAACTCAACCGAGTTATATGATATCCTTAAAACCGTAAACAAACACGCTCAACTGTTGTATCCAGTTACTATGGATAATTTAGTTAAGTTAGAACGTAATATATATTATTAATATACTTAAATCCTTCATTAATAATTCTACGTTAGTTTTTATTTTAGAAATACCGTTAGTTGATCACGACACGTACATATATTACAAGGTAACCCCAAGCCCTATATTTAACTCTACCAAACACATTTATCATCACTCCACAATACCCATACCTACAGGTGAATAGATTGAAATACAGGTCTTTTAAATACCCCTGCGAGCACATAGATTATTCTATATATAGAGATAGATTCTATGGAGCAATACCCTATTGAAACCTGTATCGAACAACTAATGCAGCTCAACAAAAATTATACATCATGCCAACAAAAATAAGTCTAAATAGAAGAAACTAGAATCCTGAGAGTTCAGGAAGGAAGATGGCTAGTCTACTCACGCCACGACGTCGTAATAACAGAAAGTTGTAGCAATGAAGCCTAGAAACAAGTATTACGAGGCACCTACATCATGATGCCGACTCCAGACTGTGAAACACAAGTAGGAAACACAGTTATCAAAGTCCCAACAAATACAATTCTTTTCAGAATATCCATACCAACAGTGCAGCTGCCAGAAATTGAACAAGCCAACCAAAACGGCAAGCAGGTGGATCTGCGGAATCGACTTCAGTGAAGTGAATAACATTCTCCATAAAATAAGTAATAGTGACGACGAGCCGGCAGACCTTGACTATATAGTGAGCAATAAAATGAGTGTGGACACCTTAGTGCTTTATGTTTTTCTAAATATGGTGGTATTAGGTTTTGTCTGTTTCAAATTATATAATAAGATTCCACCCTTACGGAATTCTCTGAAGGCTTTATCGTCACCCTCAGATAATTTCTCACTTGGAGAGGGAGGAGTTAAGGTTAATGAACGTGGTTCCTTCCGTTTTGTCAGCACGCCTAACTGTGCCAGTTGCTCGCATGCTGACAAATAAATAAAATAATATATAAAGTTTGTAAATTAGTTTTAAGATCGATTATTTGTCTATTATTAGAACTAAGCAGTCACTCTGTCAGTTTGAATAAAGTTTTTTTAAAACTAATCTTCTGGCCAGTCATTTATTTCGCGCGTGTGTATGTTAAACCTGTTGCCATAGACGAAGAAATTAGTGTTCTTAAACCAAGTGTTCCGTTAGATCTTCGTTTCCTTGTACGATTTGGACTGTTACCATTTGAGATAAGTTTCTTGCAGTCTCAATAAGTTTCGGGGTATGTTTCTAATTCCTTATGAATCGAATTGATCGCTTCTTGAATTATCTGTTTACAAATGTCGTATTTACTTTAAATACTTGTACCACAGTGTCTTTCCTTTTCCTCTTCGGAATATTTAGATCATATTTTAGAGACTTATGTTGTGTGAGTACAGATTGAGTGATGTAGAGTTATAGTTCATACAAGCTGCTAGTGAAAAATTATTCTTTTTTTAAATACATTTTTTTAATCAAATTGCATTGCGCACGTTCCAACTCAAGAAAACGAGTTTTAGCGGTTCAATCAGTATTGATTGATATATTCCTGTATCACCCCATACAGGAATACATCAATCAATACTGATTGAACCAAACGCACGTATATTTCCTTAAATTCCTAGACGAATCTTGCAGACCAGCAACTGATCCTGGCACTACATAGCTTAGTATTTTATAAATCCAATTAAGTTTTCTTACTCTTTTAATGACATGTTCGAGCTGACATGACAGGTGTGGATACCAGAGTCGCTGGTCCACAAAAACATCCAAATACTTTGATTGTGCAACTTTTATTATAAAATGTTCAGTTACGAGTGTTACCTGTGGTTTTGCAATTGTGAATCTTTACGTAAAAATTAGTTTTGGGCTGAGTGTCATTATTTGTACCAAAACAGATGTCGTTTGTGTTATTAGTATTTGACGTAAAAGAATTGTTACTTAACCATCTGTTTACATGCTCCGGTCCCCGTTCCGCACTAGACTTCAGAGCATCCCAAGAATTATCAGTGAATACAATGCCCGTATCAGCAGCATAAGAAAAGATATTAGCGTTCTTGATCTGCATATCACATAGGTCATTTATATGACCAAGAACGCTACCTTGGGGCACGCAATATAAAATCACTTCGTACCCACTGTTAAAGTTATCTAGATTCACTGTTTGCTTCCCATTTGTCAAATAATCAGTGATATGTACAAAGTGAAGTATTGCTTATACCTGTCTTTTCTAATTTGTGTACTAGTATGGGGAGAGAGACGGTGTCAAACGTTTTCTTAAGTCCGAAAATACTGACAAATATTTCTTACGTTTGTCAAGCTGTTCTATAACTAGAGAACTCAAGGATATTACTGTAAACTCCGCAAATCTTCCATGTCGAAAACCTAGTTGGTTTACATGCAATATATTGTTTTTATTAAATAGTTTAGTAATCTTTTATTGAGTAATTTTTCCAGAATTTTAGATATCACTGGCGATAGGTACCGATATAGGCCTGTAATTGTTGATATTATCTCTGTCCCCACTCATAAAAAGGAGTGATAGTCGACAACTTAAGAAGTGCCGAAATATTACGTTTGTCCAAACAAAGGTTACAGCATAGGTAATAATGGGAACAAGTACGGACATTGCTGATTTTAGTTTCCTAATTGTACAGTTTACTCCATAAATAATTTAACTTTATTCATTCATAGTCATCAAAGCATTGACTTACAAATAAAATCAAAGTAAATAAACCTACAGTTGCACAGAGATCGCTGCGCTGCGGAAATTCAATAAGAAAAAGTGCTCGTGTGTAGACCATTTTCGTTACGAAAATGTTACATTCTACGCTCGGTTTTAGTTCCGTGCCATTTCCACATAGACGGTGGCGCCATATTATTACCGTGCGTTAGTGCGTTTGTGTATGGACCATTTTAGTGACGCGATATAGCATTGAAATCGTTCGAGAGACGCTCAGGAATAACAACCGGAAATTAAATTAAAAATTAAATGGAAAATTTTTAATAACAACCGAAATCTTGTTGTAGAAGCGTATTCATTGCCCCTTCAATGAATTTGTGACTTTGTGAAGACGACTTCAAGAACAACCAGTTTAAACGCTTTATCCAATTTCAGACTCTCTATCGCCACGAATTTTTGTAACGACACCTCGCTTCAGCGAAGGTCGTCCCGTAACTCTGGGCACAGTGGACGAGAAGGGCAAAATCTCTGGATACCCTGACTACTCCTGGCACGAAAATCAAGGTCAGAACTGCGAAGGACTAACGTCAGTATTTAGGACTGCGGTAAGTAACGTCGAACATGTGAAACACAAATAATGCTAAGAACCGATTTTGATTATTCTTGTTTGTTGGAAAGAGGGTACCTCAGTAGTGGTCCCATTTTTTTTTTGAAGTAAATATTCCACCTATAAGGGTGGCTGTTTACGCGTGAAGTTTTATTTTTTATAAATAGCGCCTAAATTATATAAGGAGCAATTATTTTAATGTTTGATTTTGCCATGCTCCAATTGAAGGCGTTTTTCTCTTTCAATATACTAATTTTTGTTATCTCTAGTGTTAAGTTCCGTATAGTGACGAACTAGGGGATTAATCCGGTTTCGCATACTTTCCGGTAACCGATTTCAGTAAAACTTGGCAAACAGATACAATTCCACGAACTTTTGAAGTCAGGTTTTTTAGTATTCTGTACTGAGATTATTATTATTAGTGATGGGACGAATCGGGATTTTAACGAAGTCGAATATTGGCAGAATGTTCTATAAAAAGTTTATGCAATCGAATGTTCGGCCAAACAATTCGGTAGGATTTGACGCGCTTGTTTCTGCATTATAATACAACAAGTGAGCGTTTCTTTCTAAGGCTTGCTCTTTTTTTCTTTATTCCTTATTGCACAAAGAACCCTAGCCGTGGTGTAAAAGTGGAGTCTGCGAGAAATATTATACAATAAAATTTAAATGTGAATAAAAAATATAAATGATGAAAATATACATATGACAGACATACAAACCTACATGAACTTATATACTTAGATACATACATAAGCAGAATATATATTGTAATAACAAATTAAAATAATTTATATAAATAAATTAGTTTATATATATGTTACCGATTAACTATCTAACGCGTTTGGCAGAAAGTGCTCTTTTAATTTGTGTTTGAAAGATGCCCCTGATAGACTGTCACGAATGCCAACAGGCAGTTTATTTCACATACGACCTGCACTTACCGTAAAAGGTTTGTGGAAGAATTTGGAATTGGATTGGGGATATAATAGTGTTTTAATGTATCAGGTACGTTTTGGGCGTTGTACTGGTGGATAAGGCAGAAAAACGGGAACACAGATAATGAGGAAGCTGGGGACGATTTAGAATTTTATAAAAAAACAAAGAAGGTGCATATCTCGGCAAAGTCAGATTGGGAGCCATTTCAACGTAGACCCAAATTCAGAGACATGGTCTTAATTACGTAAACCGAATATGAAACGGATTGCCAGATTTTGTACTGTTAGTAGTATTCTAATAACAAACATCGGCGTAGTCGAGAAGAGGGAGTACAAAGACTGAGCAAGCATAACCATAACGGTAGTTCAACACCAAGAAGAATTGAATCTGCTTGAGAGAATGATAGGAAAAGTGCATGCGTCGACTCGACTCGTCGACATTTACCTGTGGTCTCCAAGACAGTGTATGGTCGATCATCAGATCCAGGTTTTTTGTATTTTCCGCATATGCAAAACTCACTCCGCCATGCAAAACCTTGGAGCGGTTATAATGTCCAACCTGCAGTAAAATCTGTTGCTACCTACAATTATTGCCTGGAATTTTATCGGGTTTACAAGCAAACCAAACGCATCATCCCAAGACTTCACTACAAGAAGATCCTTCTTTATAGTTTCAATAGCAGATTGGGCATTGGCTACATCAAAATGTCTATAAATTTGCAAGTCATCTGCATACAAGTGGAATGGAGGAAAAATTAATTTAGAGAGCATGTTTATGAACAGTGAGAAGAGAAGAGATAAAAGTACACCACTCTGTGGCACCCCTGAAGTCAAAGGAGACCATTCGAAATAAGTGTCATCATTCCCGATCCTTTGATGGCGATTGCGGAGGTAATCAGAAAACCAAGCGATTGTAGCAGGGAGATATTAAGAGAACAGAGAATGACAAGAAGGATGTCATTGTCGACAGCGTTGAAAGCATTGCTGTAGTCCCGTAAAACAATCATGGTAAAAAACCGGTTATCCATGGATATATCCGTGGCGAATAATTAAAGGTTCGATTTTTTTTTTTCAAGATCTGATTGTGTTGAGTCTAATTAAAATAAATTATTTATAGCTATCTATCTATTACTTTTATTTCATCGTTACGTGCGGTAAATGTGCCGAACATGCCAATTACCGAATATAAAAACGAATTTTCGGCCCCCCAAACCGTTATTTATCTAACTTATTATACGTAAACATAAATATAATACATAACATAGATACTGTGTTGACGTTTCTTGTGTACAGTCCATAACCATAAACTAAACTGTATTACCAAAGTTAATAGATCTGTTCTCAGCAGACTCGTTCTAATTTATAGTAGCAAAATAAAAAGCCATTACAACATTAAAGTTAAATACCAGGGCTGTCACTAAATCTGTAATTCTTTTCTAAACTATATAATAGCTCTCAAACGCAAACATTTCATTAAACTCTAATAAGTAGATTTGAAGAAATAGCGGCCATATATAAAAGTAACAAATGGTCAAAATTGCTACACATATATTTTAAAAATTACAGGCACATGGGATTTGTCAACTTGTATCCGAGGGTGACAGGCGCAGTGGCTGTGCCCCTCAAGTTTTTAAGATTTAAAGCTCTGAGTGGCACTGCAACCTATCAAAAAAACGGAAAATCTTTAGGTGCCATTTTCGCAAACTATCATCATGTTGGTTGACACGCAAATGGCTTCTCAGCAACCAATTATACAAAGATCGATTATAAACAGAAATTCCTTCGTCTAACAGGAATCGAACCTACCTGTGCCAAACCAGCACTACAAGGCCACCGCTTTACCGGCGGAGCTACAGTTTGAGTTGGCAGAGCTTACAAATTTTTCCAAGTGTCTCGGCTTTTAGAATAATAATTATTTATTTATTTTAGACATTCTCAATCCATAATATTTGTTAGTAAAGATACTTAAAAACTAGTGTTAGAATTGACCACATGTCACTAAAATTTATAAAATTAAATAATTATGAGCAGTAAATAGAAATTACAAAACCAAAATTTAGTACTATAAAATTATTAAATCAAAATTAAAACTTTAAAATATTACAAATTTAAGTTACACACACCGTTACAGTTAAATTAAAAACCAGTTTATGAATGACTGAATTTAACGTATTACAGCCGATCTTTGTATTAATAATTAGAACAAACTAGTGGGGTAATTTCACGAAAAATAAAACGAATATATCCATGATAATCAATAATTAAACTTCAAATGTACGCAATTTCAGATAGACGAATGCAACAGACTTTGGGTAATGGACACAGGCAAGATCGGCGACACGCAACACTGTTCTCCACAGTTGTTGGCTTTCGACCTCGACAATGACAAGCTCGTCTACCGGTACCGGTTCAACCAATCTGTTTATAATGAACAGTCATTGTTTGTTACTCCAGTAAGTTAGCATTGTCTTCTTCTTAAGGTGTCGATGGCATACGCAATAATGCTTGCCATGGTGGTGTAATAATTTGTTAATGCGCGTAAGATACTCTCTGATTGTTGCCCAAGGTGTGCTAGAGGTGCAGGATAGGAAAAAAATACATCGTGCGGGGAGGTTTTCATACACCCCATTCCCTATTTGGCATAAACGCTAAGCAAGATCCATACATAAGATTGGTTCCATACACCGTTAGACACACGCAAGTTTCCTATTGGTACTATCAAAAAACTTGACGCCTTGTCACTTGGATTATTTTTGCATGCGAAGGTTACAATCAGTAACTTATTTCTGGTAACCAATGGCGTTTAAAGGTTAGGATATAGTTACGGCATTAAGTTAGTTTCAATAAACAGAAAATGAAAGAAGGATGGCGACATCCCGTGTAGAGATATAAATATAATTGGGATAAATACTCAGTACAAAGATAAATATCCATATTTATCTATTTTTACTCGATATTTATCCGAAAACGTCAATAAATATTTCTAATCGTGGTTTATTATTTATATAGTGAAACAAAGTATAGTTTTAAGCTTAATTGTAAACATTGATACAATTTAGTAGCATGTACATTGACTTACAATTATATGGACGTCGGGTGCGCGCTAAAAAGTGTCCGCACTTGTAAGGCGCTAAAATCGTATACAGAGCGCCAAACTCCGCTTTAGTCTTTATTTGTTCTACTGACAGCGCGATACTGCGATGACATTACAATTTAAATTTCGAATAGGTTGACTTGGGACATTTTTTTCGTGGTTTTTGTATTAGACCCGTCGTCCATTTATTTGTAAGTCAATGAGCATGTACGTATAATAATAGGGGTTAAAGTATGAAATTGCTGATTTGTACTGAAAATCTAAATTGTTTATTTTTTAAATTTTTAACAAATTTATTTAATCAAAATAGTTGCCATTATTATCTATACATTGCTGCCATCTAATGGGAAGGTTATTAATGCCTTGGCGATAGAACTCCGACGATCTAGACTGCACAAACTGTGTGAAAGCATTTTGTACTGCCTCCTGGGAATAAAACTTCTTGTCACGTAGATAATTGTCCAAATCACGAAAAAAATGGTAGTCCGTTGGAGCAAGGTCTGGTGAATACGGAGGATGACGAATGGTTTCTAACTGCAGTTCCTGAAGGGTCAAAATGGTTTCTCGTGCTGTGTGAGGTCTCGCGTTGTCGTGGAGCAATAATGGTGAAGATCGATTCATGAGTCGGGGCTGTTTTACTGCTAGTTTTGTCAACATGGTTCGGAGTTCGGCACAATAGACATCTGCCGTTATTGCTTGACCAGATCGGAGAAAACTATAGTGAATAACACCATGCTGAGACCACCAAACAGTTACCATTACCTTTTTATTGGTAAGTTTTGCTTTAGGACACTGTTGTGGCATTTGACCTGGGGTCAGCCATTGCATTTTTCTTTTCCGGTTATCATAAAGAATCCACTTTTCATCACATGTTACAATTCGATCCAATATTCCTTCATTTCTGTACCGGTTCAACAAGGCAACACAAGTTTCAACACGCGTTTCTTTCTGCAGATCAGTCAAATCATGAGGCACCCATTTTTCGTATTTTTTTATTTTATTGATTTGACGCAAGTGAGTCAATATTGTGGGTAAGGTAACGTTAAACCATGCCGCTAATTCCTGGGTAGTTTGACTAGGATCGGCTTCCACTATCTCTCTTAATTCATCGTTATTCACCTGTGTGGGCGGTCTTCCTCGTGACTCGTTCTTTAAGTCGAAATTTCCATCACGAAAGCGTTTAAACCAAAATCGCACGGTGCGTTCATTAGTAGACCCCTCTCCAAACGCAGCATTGATATTGCGGGCTGTTTCTGCCGCGTTAGTTCCGCGTCGGAACTCGTATTCAAAAATCACTCGAATTTTCGCAGTATCCATCTTTCTTGTCTAAATTGAATAACAAAAACAATTGAAAGTCGATATTCAAATGTTTCAAATTTAAAAAAAAAATCACAGAAACCATTTGAAAAAAGTTTCATTCGAAAACCTCAAACCATGAAGATTCTATGAAAATTCAAAGAACCTATTGCAATAAAACGGCAATTTCATACTTTATTTTATTTTATTTTTATTTTATTTTATTTGGGGAGCTTACAGCTACTTTTACAAATTACATATCTAAGTATGCAAAGAAATGCCAATTAAAAGCTTCCACATATATACAGAAAAATTATAAACTAAACTACTTTCAAATCAACTATGCTAACTAACTTAAGACACATCTAATTTCAAATTCACATTACAAATTAGAAATGAACTTTTGGGTCAACATAGATTTGACTTCCAGAACGCTGTCGCAGAATAAATCCATGTTGAGGTCATCATTGAGTACGTTGAATAGTGCTAACGTTCTTGGCAAATAACTATTTTTTCTATAATTAGTTCGACTAATTGGAACATGGAGCAACTCCCGCCTACGCAATTTCCTAACTGGAATTTTAAATTCAACCTTGCTGAGGAGCTCAGGACAATCAATTCTACCTTGTGCTATATTGAATAAATAACAAATATCACACATATTTCTCCGCAGATGCAATGGTAACAGGTGGAGCTTTACACATCGGTGTACGTAGTCCACTTCAGGTAATTTAAATTTAAAACTTAAAAATCTAGTAAATTTAGCTTGTATTTTTTCAATTTTATTAGAGTAAATTTCATAAAATGGATTCCAAATTTGGGACGCATATTCTAGATGCGAACGGACATACGTACAGTATAAAATTTTAAGGGTTTTAATCTTCCTAAAACTACCCGAGACTCGGATAATAAATCCTAAGGCTTTATGTGCCTTATCACATATGCGAGAAATATGGTCATCAAACAATAATTTGTTATCATGTGTCACTCCTAAATCTCTCCCAAGGTTGTTGCCAATAAGACTCAATTTTTTTATTTTGTAAACACGTTTAAAAATATTTTTCTTACGAGTAAAATTGATATAGAAACATTTAGAAACATTTAAATCCAGTTTATTGGCAGCGCAATATAAGTCCAGCCTCTCCAGATCCTCTTGTAAAAGCATCGCGTCCGAGATATCATTAACAACTCTGAAAATTTTCATGTCATCAGCAAATAATAGAAATTTTGAATGTAAAAAACACGAACCGACATCATTGATGAATATGACAAATAAAAGAGGACCTAATAAAGAACCCTGGGGAACACCGGATGGAATGCTTACCCATGAGGAAGCAAAACCATTAAGTACTACTGACTGGGACCTAAGTAAAACATATGACGTGAACCATCGGTACAGATCACCACTTATACCGAGAGATAATAACTTAGACAATAGGATATTATGATCAATGCGATCGAATGCTTTGCTGTAATCCGTATATATGGTATCGACCTGATTACCCGCATCCATATTATTGGTAAGGAACTCGTTGAATAAGATTAGATTCGAAACCGTGGATCTACCCCTGAGAAAGCCGTGTTGTTGTGATATAAAACTTGACTTAACGGACTCATACAGTTGATTAAAGACTACACGTTCTAATATTTTAGCGAGTAGACATAGTTTGGATATAGGCCTATAGTTCTCAATATCAGTTCTGGATCCTTTTTTATGAATGGGTGTAATAAAGGCCGATTTCCACAATAAGGGCATAATACCTTCTCTGAGCGACCTTTTAAATAAAATGGTCACTGGTGCAGAGAGCTCATGGGCACAATTAATTAAAAACGTAGCGGGTAAGGTGTCAGGACCTGCCGACTTATTACGGTCGAGACCTTTAAGAAGTGAGTAAACCTGCGTGCTTGAAACCTCAATTGAGGACAAACCGCATGAGACAGAAGGCATATCGTTGTGTGATGGAGCACTAGAGGATGAAGAGTTAGGATCCGAGTCCAAGAAAGTAGAACTAAAATAGACGGAGAAAAGTTCACAAATACCCTCACCTGTATCTGCAGAACGATTTGAATATTTCATAGTAGCCGGGTAGGAACTACTACCTCTCATACGTTTAATGTACGACCAAAATAGTTTCGGATTACTAGTGATTGCAGACTCTATGGTACATATATAATTTTTATAGCATTTTTCTTCCACCATCCTAGCCCTATCACGCAACAAATAAAAAGTTAGTTGGTCAGATATATTACCATAAACTTTGAATTTTTTTAAAAACTTATATTTTTCTTTTATAATTTTTATTAAAGCAGAGTTATACCAAGGAGGATACCTACTGTCCCTAATCTGGCGTTTGGGTACATATTGTTCACGAAGTTGGTACACAACATCGTAAAAGACTTTAGTGGCATCCTCTACATTGCCTGTGTTTAAAATTAATGACCAATTAGTTTTTGATAGACATTGGCAAATTTTGTCATAATCACCATGATGATAAGAAAAAATAGTACTTTTTTCGATTGTTAAGGAATCCAATTCAATAAAGGATGGCTGAATGATCAAAGTAGGATGATATCCGTCCTCCCTTATAAGCGGATCGGGGCACACTGTTACTGAGACATAGTCATTACACAGAACAAGATCTAAAACCCTGTCATACTTATTTTTATTATTATTAAATTGTTGTAAATTGCATTCGCTTAAAACATCAATAAAGTCTAAAATGCAAGTATTTGTTACATTTATTGGTTGAAGACCAATCTCGGAGGGTAACCATAAAATATCACTCATATTAAAGTCACCTACCACGAGAAATTTATCTAATTTGTTACTTTGCATAACATTCAAAAGCTTATTATAAAATTTAATTAATTGAACAAAGAAAGTATTTCCCCCATTTTGTTCGCATAAATATAGCACACACAAATGAAGTTTAGTAATGAGATTACGTCTAGAACTATGAAGAGTTATGGTTACCCAGATATCCTCGGCACTGGATTGCCAGTCAACGTTATACATCGACAAAAGTTGTCGCTGCACAGCTATCAAAACACCCCCACCCATAGATTGACCAGTGAGTGTGTAGTCAC